AAACTTTCTGAATCCTTTATCATCTGCAACTGAAAATAGTTGTGGATGATTACTATACCTTTCTAATGTGACGTTGTTGTCACTGGCTTTCTTTCTCTCTCTTTCCCTCCTGCTCTGTTCCTGTGCTACTGCGTGTGGAACTACTGCCCCTCCCCCCTCTTCCCAGTGCAAAGCACAAGGCTCGCATGCGGAGTGAAGCGGAAAAAGGAAAAAAACCCCACGACTCGCAATAAGGAGCCGGCTCGCGTCGTTCACATCAAAGATCCGGCTCTAAGAGCCATTTTGTTCGCGACCGACACATCTCTATTAGTCTATAGTTTATTTCTATAGGGTCTAGTTTCTTGTGGTCCCAGTTTAGTTCCCTGATTGTTTAGTAATTTCCTTCTGTATAGCTGACCCCTGTGTCTCCCTCTGTTTCTAAGTTTATACAGTTATGTGAGTTCTTGTGCCTTGTGTCCACTCCTTATGTTCAGTGTTTCCCTCATCCTGTCGTGACTGTGCTCTCTCGTGCCCCTCCATGTTCTCTCTCACCTTCCAGTCCGTCTCTGTGTCCTCCCCATTTTGTCTCGTGTCTAATTGCCCTCAGCCGCGTCTCCCAGCTGTTCCCTGTTGCCCTGTTCTCCTTCTGTATTTATTGTCTGTGCTCACCTCCATTTGTTCTAGCGTCGTCCCCTCACCTCCATGCTCCTAGTTCCCTGTGTTCCCAGTGTAGCTCCCTACGTGTCTTGGGTTTTTGATTTGAGTTTCTTGTTTATAGCTCCTTGTGTTTAGTTTAGTACCAGTGTGTTTTCTCCAGCAATAATACTGCCATTTTGAGTTCATCCCTCCCCGCGTTTGAGTCCCTGCTTTTAGGTTCTATTTCCTGCCAGCCACGCAGTGAATCATGACACAAACAGTCAGTCACACCCCAAACTCCACGATGGCCAAGCCCAAAGTGCTGTCCAAGGACACCAGAAAAAAAGGTTGTAGACCTGCACCAGGTTTGGAAGACTGAAACTGCTACAGGTAAGCAGCTTGGTGTGAAGCAATCAACTATGGGACCAATTATTAGAAAATGGAAGACATATAAACCCACTGATAATCTTCCTCGATCTGGGGCTCCATGCAAGATCTCACCATGTGGGAGTGAAATCACAAGAACAGTGAACAAAAATCCCAGAACCACACAGGTTCTGGAACGACCTGCAGAGAGCTAGGACCAAAGTAACAAAGGCTACCATCAGTAACATACTACGCCTCCAGTTTCTTAAACTGCCGTGACATTCTACACTGCATTTCTGACATACAAAAAACACTGGAATCAATGGTACTCTTCTTGCTGTCTTTGACTGCTGAGGTTCTCTATAATATTTGGTAAAGATTTCATAATTTTATTGCAAATTCTATGAGGATACTGAACTGTTCATAATTATTAATAGTCATTTTTTGTTAACAGGATTTTTACAAAACCAGAAATCACTGTTCAGCTTTTGTTATCAGGGTTTGGATGTGCACAGTTTTTGGAGTTGCATGTTGTTAATGTTCAGATAACAAGAGAATTATAAGATAAGAGAGCTGACATGATGTTTTTGTGCCAGACAAAGACATCATGTCACATAAAATAACCTCTCACTTGATAATTCACGTATTATCGAGGTTTATTTTTTTGTTTTTGTTGTTTTGTTGTTGTTTTTTATTTCATATTCTTTATAGTGCAGAGGACCAGCAGGTTGCATTTTAGGTTGCAATGTTTTGTTGTATTATTCTGATTCTTTATGATGTCTCCACAGAGTGGACCAGAAGAGCTCAGAGGTTCCCAGTGGTCAGTCTTCCCAGCAGCATCAGACACACCTGGACTCTATATTTATGGTGTGTACATGTGCAACAACTACTTTTACATTCTGTTGACAGACATATTCTTGCTGGGTTCTGGCTCAGAGGGTAGAGCGAGCTGAACAAAATGCTGTGGTCAGATTTTTGCCTCCACTACAAATACATAGGCAAATATCTAGCATCTAGTATTTTAGAAAAAAAACCCCAAAACTGTTTATTTAAGAAGCGCCTTTCAAAAATCGAGTACACCTTACAAGCACTTAAATAACAGACAGTATGGCTACTCTTTCAAGGCTACCACTTGAAAGAGAACATACTACATAATGCTACATAGTATTGGGTAGTAGTGCAGTGAATACTGAATAACATTAATCAGAAAAGGCAGGTTTAAAAAGATGTCTTAAGGCCTAAGGTGTCTTAAAGCTACTTTAAATATAGGGAGAGAACCAATGTTGTGAAAGTGGCATGGAAGAAAGTTCCAGTGGACACTCAGCTGAAAGTACTGGAGGGTAATTTGAGCAGATGGGAAAATAACAGTAGCAGAGGAGGATGATGTCAGAGTACGGGAAGGAGTGGAGCTGTGCAGAAGATGTGATATGGAGGTGTGACTTTATGGAGATACTTTGAAATAAGAAGCAGAATCTAAAATCAATGTGATATATACAAGCATCAGCATCCGCAATCCCCAACTGTAGCTTCCTGTCTCATTTTATGACAGCAGACCCCCAGTGTCAATAAATTCCTTTCCCTCTAAACAATTACACACACTCACAAACCTACAGCTAAGCCAAACTGAAACACACAGACAAATTCTTCCTTATTCCTTTGATCTAAACAAATTTTACACATCATATTCTAATAATTGTTTTCTTGTACTCACATAATATAGAAAGGATAAAATTATAATAATCCATATGGGATATTACCTAGAGCAAGAATAGCAGTAGTGTTATCTATGAGGAATGATAACTAATATTATGTAGCTGGAAATATGATCACCAAGTAATAATACTGATAAGTATTTCAAAGTTTAGGGCGCTATCAAGAGAAACATCTAGGCTCCTCAGCTCTGAATAACAATGTATGGACATACAATGTACTATGTGGACTACCTGCCACATGCTGTGGGATCGTAAAAATTATAGTACTGAAAAGGGCATAAAGGTATTACACTGCACAGCGCAATAAAACTGAGGTGGAACATTTCAGGTGGCTGAAAGATATTATTATAGTAGAGAAAAGAGCTCTACTGTTCGTTTCACCAGATCTGATAAATGTTCCATAATATCCAGATTTAGCTGCAGATAGAGAATCCTTATAGTTGTGTGTGTGAGAGACATGTTCTTATGAAGAACATGAGACATAACTTGATAACTTGACATGTTTACACAACATTTAGCTTTAACAACAATATAAAGGGATAGATATATGGAAAATATTCTGACAAAATGTGGATTTTACCTTTTCCCACTTCTTTTAGATAACCAGGGTTTGAATTTCATTGAGGGATTGTGTATATTGAGCCTAATTAAACAGATTTCCAGAAACACACCTCCTTCTATGTTCTTTCTTTTTCTCCTGTGTGAGAAAGGTTTTGGGGTATTTCATAAAATATTCTGTTCCAGATGCTGGAGGACAAAATAATCTCTTTTGTGAAGAACGAGCTGAAGAACATCCAGACAAGTCTGAGTCCAGAGGACCTACAATGTTTTAAGAGTCAATGTGAGGATGACGCTGTATTACAGAGTGTGGATGAAGAACAGAGTACGAGCAGCAGAGAAGCATTTATGATGATTACAGTGGACTTCCTGAAGAGAATGAAGCAGAATAAGTTCGCTGAGCGTTTGCTGACAAGTGAGAATTATTCTCTAAATAAAAATAATTCTAAAAAAAAGTGCCAAAATGTTCAACAATATTTCAAGTAACAGACAAAAATACATTCAAAATATGTGATAAATCCTTGATTCGTGTGTGTGTGTGTGTGTGTGTGTGTATTGGGTCCTTAAGGAACCTGCACTCGGAACTTCCAGTGGCATCAGCATGAATTTAAATCTAACATGAAGAAGAAGTTCCAGTGTGTGTTTGAGGGGATCGCTAAAGCAGGA